TCTTTGCTTGTACCTTTTTTACTTTGCATTTTGTGAAACACAAAGAAAAACATCTAAAATGTAAGCGAATTTGGAAGTTATTGAGTTGTTTTTGTTTTCGGCGCTCAGGCTGACGTAAGTAAACGGAAGTGAAATTTCACCTCCTTAGCAACGCGCGCGAGCGCGCGCATAAATCGGTTAATGGGCCCTTAATTAACAGAAGTCTGTATGAGCGACAAGTCACCCTTTTGCTTGATAATGTAAGACGCAATTGGATGTGGCCTATTTTTGGGAACTATAAAGAGTTTCATCTTACCCAAGTGGATGTTTTGCAGAGGCGTTTAGCCGCCTGATCTGCTCGTAAGTGAAGTCACAGACTTTTCCATGTCCATCTGTTGTGCGGTCCACAGTTGAATCATGAATTATTACCGGCACGCCATCTTTAGTGAAGTCCAAGTCAAACTCGACACCCAATGCCCCATTTTCCTTGGCTAATTTAAATGCCGCCATCGTGTTTTCTGGTGCCTCTATTCCACAGCCTCTGTGACCTAGGATTATCGGCGAATTTCTCGTCGGAGCGCCGCGTCGAAGAAAACATTTCACTGTGTAAGGTGTAGGACGAGGAAAACGAAGCAAACGGTAGAGGATAAACATCAATATGCCCGAGAAAACAAGAAGAATTGTGATATAAATATGCAACCCATAGGACACAGCCGTAAGCGCCATATCTACAATCATTACAAACATACTGGGGCCTGGGAAAGAATAGTAGAATATCGTTGCTCATTTCACAGTTCTTCTCCGGTGTTTTGGAAGTTTCCTTCTTTTATGTCTCATTTTGTTGCTTGATTCGTTGGTTTATGAAAATTAATTTATGTGCAAGCATGAACTACGTCAAATATTGGCTAAAATTGCTTTATTGCGGTCTAAACAGAGGCAAACAAAGTTAATATTTAATGCATATTCTATGCCGTTTCCATTTCATTACCATATATACGAAGCACGAAGCAGAAACCAGAAACCAGAAACCAGAATATTCGTTCCCAGGGCCTTGATTTGCCTGCAAAACATGGCAAACAATGGGAAGATGGCGAACATGGCAGGGGGAAACGAAGAGGTTTACGAGGCTGTACTCAACAGCCACGAATCGACTCCAGACAAGCGCTTAGGCAAGAATGCTCGTAGGAAAAGACGCCGGCAACTTCGGCGTCTCCAAGGCAGCCATGAAAGCTATTCTGTGTACATCACAAGGGTGCTCAAAGAGCTTCATCCCGACATTGGTATCTCAGAAAAAGCCATGAAGATCCTGGACTCATTCGTGCACGGTCTTTACGAACAACTGGCGGTTGAAGCCTCGCGTGTTGCAAGGAGTCACCGGCGAAAGTCACTCACTAGCAGAGATATAGAAACAAGTGTTCGTGTTTTGTTACCGGAAGGACTAGCAAGGCGGGCCATGGACAAAGCAAATCAGGCAGTTGCAAATCTCTCTAATTAACTGCTGCAAGATTTAAAACAGTTGGAAGGCTCTCTTTATAAAGAGCATTTGATGCCAGTGTTTCCTAATTTGGTTTCGTTCGACGTTTTCTCAGGAATTCAGTTACCTGCTGTTGTACAAGGTTGCAAACTCTCCTGGGTAATTTATACCAGACATTTACGCAGTTCAACTTTATTCCCAACGCATCCTCCTGGGGTCCACACCAGGGGAAAGTGTATGACCTGGTGTCACCTGTGCATTTATTTTTTATGTGAGAGATGGACACAGGTTTATGTAACAGTCGCGATTTAAAACAATACAAAACAAAATAAACAATGATGAAGCGCTTATTTACATTTGAATTATTTGTAGAAATCTGATACAGATGAGTAAAGGATTAAAATTTAGTGGCTGAGTAGAAAAGTCCCATGACTTCTTGTGGACACCTCAGGATAAATACACCATATAGACGGAAGAGTGAGGGGGTCAATAAATTGAAAGATAGCTGATGTTGGGTTTAAAAAATCACTAGAGTTAAAACAGCACAGTTTATAGATGAGTGATCCATATTGATAGATGGCAGATGTAAAGGCAATGTGGGAGACAGTTCCAAGTATATTTGACATATTGGTTCAAAAGATGTAAGGACCGAGTAGTCTGGTGGCATAGATTTTGAACTGCACTATTTTTTATACAAGCACCAAACTTTGT